ATAGTTATTTTTTTTCGCATTCTGTTTAAAAAAGTGTTCATTAATCTCTTCAGTATCTGTTTTTAGTGATGCTAGTGATATTAACAGTCCCCATCACCGCCGACATATCTCTGATATAAAAAGATTTCTTTCTTTCTTTCTTTCTTTCTTTCTTTTTCGATATATTAATTTTAAATATTAATTTCAAATTTCATAATATATTTTTTTATTACTAATTATGTAAATAGATTAATGTTATTACTTATTATATAAATAATAGCAATTGAATTGAATATAAACTATAACTGACCATTATAATATATTTAAATGACATATGTTATGGTATAGTAAAATTTTAGATGTTGTACTAATAAAAAGTATATTAAAAATTAAAACCGGTATCTTTGCAGAATACAAAATTAGATATGATATCGGATCGGTTATCGGCCGATATCAATTTAATATCTGAAATATCGGATCGGATCGGCCTCCAAAAAGTGGTATCGGTACACCCCTAGTTCATATGATAAGTTACCTTGTGATGTCGAATTTTGGTATAAAAATCTTGACAGAATAGGGTATTCTTCAGAGACCTGCAGGCCCGGCCTTAAACCCGGCCCGGCAGTATTTTAAATTTTTTAAATATATCCGGGCCGGGCCTAAAAAAAATTTTTTTAAACATATCCGGGCCGGGCCTAAAATTGTTAAACCCGGGCCGGGCCTAAAATTGTTAAACCCGGGCCGGGCCTTAATATTTTTTATAAAAATTTTTACATTATGAGTTAATGGTTATAAGATTATATTATATTATAGTTATGATTAATATAATATTGGGTGATGGTTAACACTACCTATTAACCCACAGATCGATCTAATTATTAATTTCCTGCAAATTTATTCAAAGTATTAATATATTTTTTTATAATTCATATCTAAATTTTTACAACATATTTTACCAAAACAATCAAATAAAGGAATATCTTAAATAAGCCCCAATATTCAAGTATTATTAATATATTTTTTTATAATTCATATCTAAATTTTTAGAATATATTTTACCAAAACAATCAAATAAAGGAATATCACTTCTTAAACTTTGTAATACCTTTCAAAGCGAAAAGGAGAAATAAAATTGATTTTACTTAATATAAAGCATTTTTTAATTGAAAAATTTGTTTTACACAAGTATCATTTTATTTCTCTTTTTCTCTGTCCCAAAATCAAGCAATTACGTATGTAGTCAGGGACAGATCGCAAAATGACGGAAAACTATATAAAAGATTATATTAAATTACAAGAGGCTCAGGAAGTAAATGAAATAACATCGACCAGTCAAATTACGACTGTTGTTAAACAAACTGAATCGTTTTATGACAAATGGGGCGATGATAATTCTGGTAATATGTCAATACCCGATGATGAATATTATAATTACATAAATAATAGATAAAACATTTAAGGTGGATAATTTGTTAGAGTGATGGGCGGCTCATCAAAGCGAATTTCCAATTTTAGCAAAATTGGCAATTCCTGCTTTAAGTGCAAGCTGTGAACGGAATTTTTCCACTACTGAGAGAATTCTTGAAGAAAGAAGAAGTAATCTTCAACCTGAAAAGGTAGATATGCTTCTCTTTCTTCATGATAATTTGTGAATTTTTAATATCTTTCTTGAGTATAGGGTTTCGTCAATCATGCTGGTTTTTTACTTTGCAAACTGTCAAATATTTATTGCATTTATTATATTTACCTTGAGTAATGAAAGTTTTTAATCCAACATTTTTCATTATTTTTTTTTACAATATTATATAATACAATTATCTTCTTTTGTTAAAAATTTATATTATAAAATAAATTATATTAATATTGTGCAATTAGATTATATTTTCAAAATACTATTTATTATACATGCATTTTTTTAAATAGCGATTTATTTTTATTTTATAAATTAAATGGTAAATTAAATACAATATATTATATTCTCAAAATACTTTCCATTTTTATAAATTAAATATTAGTTTTATTTTTTTAAATGTAATATAAAATATAGTATATGACAAATATTATTACCATTTTTATGAATATTAGTTTTATTTTTATAAATGCAATATAAAATATAGTATATGCTCAAAATATCCATTTTTATAAATAACAGTTTTATAAATTCAATATAATATTCTCAAAATATTAGCTTTTTACATGCATTTTTTAAATAATAAGCGATAATACTGGCTGAAAAATATGGTAAAATACCTCATAGGTGAATTTTTGTATATACCAAGTCGAATATAATTTAAAAAAATTCCGAGCCGGGCCTGAAATTTTTAAAACCGGGCCGGGCCGTGCAAATGGTACCTCTGCAGGTCTCTGGTATTCTTTGAGACCAAAAAATGCTCTGCAGGCCCTTTCCATGTGTAATTGCATTTTAGATTCCCTGCCTAATATCAAAAGATTATTAATTATTTTAGCTACTTTGCCAATTAGTACCTGCACTAATGAAAGGTCTTTTTCAACTTTAAAAAGGTTAAAAACCTATTTAAGAAACACAACCGGTGAAAAAGGTTTAAATGGATTAGCCCTATTGAATATTTATAAGGAGATTATTTTAAATAAAAATTTGATTCTAGATGAATTAGCAAAATCTCAGAGAAAAGTAGATCTCTCTTTTTAAATTCAAATCAAAAAATAGCTATAAAATTTTATTAGTTTTAATATATAATCATTTTTTTTTGTAAAAAAAGTATTATTTATAAGATAATACATCATATTTTTTTAAATACCATTATTTGTATAAAAATTACACATATTTTATATAATTGAAAAAATTACTTTTTTTAAATAGTCTTTATACATTATAATTTTTAATATTAAAATCTGTATTATATAAAATATCAACATTTTGAAAATATTTTAATTAATAAAGGAATGTAAAATATATAATAAAATACCCTAAAATTTTGTTATATGAAAATATAAAACAATTTTAACAAATCCAAAAATATAAGCAATTTCAAAAAAAATGTGAGTACGCCACTGCACAAATTTGATTTTCATATAGCGTCTATAAATAAGCCATGCATTTATTACACAAGAATCCAATAAATGGAAAACCATTCGCATATAATATCTTTTCCATTTAATATCTGTCCTATATAACTCCACCAGCATATCGTGAAGATCTACTCCACCCATTCCCTCATTATAGTTTTTAACTATAGCGGGCATTTCTACATTTATAAAGGTTTTGTCCGATACAGACCATCGTTTAATTTTGGTCGTAGGTAAAACACCTATAAAATTAGATATTGTAATAACAGCTTTGTTGTCCTGCCATGCTGAAAATAATAGCGTTTTTTTCACTTTTATAATCTACAGCGCCTCTTCCTTCCTTTTTTAAAGCCTTATCGTTTTTAAGTGCGCATCCTGATAATCGATTAGACCTTACCATTCTGGACACCCAACCCTTTTTTTTAAGAATCATAAATAATTGGTATGAGGAGAAAAATTATCCATATATAATTTATGGTTTTTATTTGATGGTATTATTTCAGACAGGCGAAGTACGATATCTCCACTGATACCTAAATATGATTTTATAGTATTAGTAGACTTTCCCTAGTATATTTCAAAATCATATATAAATCCAGAAGAGCCACATAGGGCAAACACTTTTATCCCCCATTTATGGGGCTTCGATTTAATGTATTGCCTTAATTTAGAGGGCCTCTTGAAAGGAATTATAAATTCGTCTACAGCTAACTTCTCTTCGAGTTGAATTTTTTTATAGCTGGCATATGAAAGGTTGAATTTTGAATAATTTGTCGTAACCTTTATCTTCTCTATTTACCATATATTTGTTATTATTAATATGGAAAAATTTTTGGATCAAAAGAAAACGATTGCGGGACATAGTTTCTGATACTTGTGGAATAGATGTCTCAACCGACCAATGCTGCCGTATAGAAGACATCTTAACTAAGTTAGTATACAAATGTATTCCAATAAATTTCCAATTTCATTGCTATCAGTATTTATAGATTTTCCACAACATTGGAAGGAATAAATATTTGTTTCTGATGAAAAATTGCTGATCATTTGGTTGTCCAAAAATTTACGAAAATAGGTTAGAGGAGTTGAATCTGGTTCAGGAATTTCCACCATAGGAGTAAATTCTGTATTCATGTTTCCAATGTCTTTCTTAGGCCAAAGAGGGTTATCTTTTATTTAAGTTATAGTAGTATCTTCGATTATATCCTCCAATTCAAGACCTAGTTCATTTGTAATATAAGATTAGGTTGGCAAATCATCTCCTAGCAAAGGATAATAATTGTCTTCAGAAATATCACTCTCGGGGATAAGTGTAGTCATATCTAAATGCATAGTGATTAAAAAGTATCTCATATTATTACATGTTATATATATATAATTTTTATGAGGACCTATCCCTATATCCAAGAAAACTATTAGACATTAAATAATCAATACAGCTAACTATTATCAAAATATAATCTGATTACCCCCCCCCTCGCCACTTCCGTTTTAACCCTAAATCTAAATATCCTAAATAATTTGACTAAAATTCCCATTTATTGATAAAAAAATATTTTAGTGCATAAGAAATGACCATTGATGCCAAATGGCATTATGCTCAAATTCCAGCACCTAAAATGTTTAAAAAGATGATAATTTTTATATAAAAATATTAATATATATATATTAATAATACAATTATTACTTATATTTTTAGCAAGTTTTGATAACCGAAAATATGAATTTAAATTTTGGCGCGAAAATGGTGAGAAAAATTGATTTTTTAAAACTATAATATGATATAATAACATATGAAAGAAAAGAGTTAGTGATAAAATACGAAAGAGCAAATATTAAAAATTAAAAATATGATTTCAAAAGTTATCAATGACCATTTTTAATACATATAAATTACTATTGAAAAATTATGATTCCAAAAGTTATCCATGAGCGCGAAAGGGTGTAAAATTAATTAAATAATTTATTAATTTAACTTCAACAAATTTAATCAATTTTTTCAAATGGCCATCTTTGTAAAAATATAGAAATTTATTCATCCATTCATCAGGTATGATCTATAAAAAATACAAATGTTATTTGTCATTTTAAATATATGTATTACCCCAGCTATTTCACATATATCATATTTAGATATCTGTTCGCCATCCTTAATAAATCTGAAAGCACTTTGTAAATAAGTGATAGCTTTTCTCATATCCCCCTCACTAACTTCTACAATAAATTTCAATACCTGTTATTAAAATAATAAATTGTGAAATACAATAAAGGATAAAAATTCTATATCATTTTTATACAGTGCTGTAAAGTATCGTCGTTAAAAGTAACGCCATTACTAGTGGCGTTTCTTTTTTAGATAAAAGTAAGGTCATTCATTACTCTTTTAAAGTTATGAGTAAATTAATGACGTTTCTTGTCTTATTTTTTAAATGTTTGATTCCTATTTTAAGTTTTTTAAAAAAATAAATACTATTATAATGTACAAATATCCCAATTATCCATGCATATAAATCAGATTATTAATTCATCGTTTAACTTACATGTTGGATAATTGATTGGTGATTTTCAGCTTGTCATAATGTTACTCAATACCTTTTAAAAGAAAAACTCGTAACTAAAAAAATAAACACACTAGAATTAATTTATAAAACCAATTTTTTTTTATTTCAATATAATTCAGTATAAATATAAAATAATCATTTATTAGTATAAAGCAGGGTTGACAAGTCGGTCAAATGACGTAGTTAGATACTCTAAAATATTATTGGTGAATAAATATACTAATTTAATTAACTAATATTGTATTTACAGCATGTTTATCAATCTAATTAGGTTATAATATATTTTAAAATATATTTGTAAGATCAAGGCATCAATTTAATTATAATTGTATATTAAAATATAAGATTTTCATAATAAAATGAAAGAATTTCATTTTAAAATATAAAAATAAAATAATTTTTCCCATTATTAATTTGATTGGATCTCAATATATAAATAAATATAATAATTTTGCTAAAGCATGGTTTGTGAATGATAATTACTACAATTTATATTACATTATGTACAAATTAACTAAACAAGATTAGCATCGTCAATAAAATGTAGCTGTTGGAGAAGTTGAATATTTGTCCAAAAGAAATTACCAATAATATATTAAATGAAGAAATATTTTGGATGAAAAAAATTACACTTTTAGATTATTCTTTAATATATATGCGTATAATTACCAACACCATAGGAGTCTTTGGGAAACTCTTTCTAATAATTAGGGATGTGCCGATATTTTTTATCGGATCAGATCGGGCCGATATTTTACCCATTTTAAAATATTGGTTGTAGGCCAATTTTGCCGATACGATCCGATATAAAATGGCGTCTTCAACAAAAATAAAATGTTATAAAATTTTTTAAAAAAGTTATACCTAAAATCATTTATTTTTATAAATAAAATCAAAATCCATTTTTATGTATACTTTTTTAATAATAATAAATTAATAAACTGCCATATTGTTATTTTTTTGCGCATTCTGTTTATAAAAGTGTGCGATAATCTCTTCGGAATCTGTTTTTAGTGAAGCTGATGATATTGACAGTTACCATCTCCGCAGGATTATAATATATTTAAATGACATAAGTTATGGTATAGTTAAATTATAGAGGTTATACTAATAAAAATTATATTAAAATTAATTGGTATCTTTATAGAATACAAAATTAGATGATTTTAAAATTCTGCATCTGAAGGAAAAAAAATAAAAATATGCTTAAAAAGAAAAAACGATCCAAATACATGTGCTCAAACTGCTAATTATTTAATGGATCACTAAAATAAGGGGAGCATCTTAGTAGTAGTGAGTTTGATGAAACATGTGAAATAATACAAGAATTAGGCATTTTACAAGTTGATGATAATCAAATATTAAGTGATATCATAAATTTCAGAAGTAAAAACGGCGGCATATTTAATAACCAAGATATGTGGAAAATAGTAACTCTCTAAAAAAAAAATCAGATTTCGGCCTCAAGTTGTTGGAATGGGCTTTGCCCATCTTTAACATAAAGAGAAATACCTAATATTTTACTAACAATTCCTAGTTATACTTCTTTTTCGGAAGGAAATTGGTCGGTTTGGAGTAATATTTATACGAGGAAAAGAAATCGATTGAAGATCTCGACAACAGGAAAATTGGTAAGAGTATATCATAACCCAAGATTGATTAAAAAATTGAAAATGATAATATTGAATATAAATCAGAAAAAGACTATGCCACGGAGAGCCAAACATTAATTATAAAATTTAAAAAAATATAATTTAATATTATGTAAATTCAATTTTTAATATTATATATAAAATAAAGTAATTTTGTCTTAAAAACATTTATTTTTGACCGATCAAATGCGCAACCCTGCATAAAATTAATATTTTCTATTCAAAAAAAACTTTTACGAATTACTATGTGTATTTTGTTTTTATTAATTCTCAAAAAATACATTATCTTATTTAAATATGGGCAATGTATATGGCTGAGTGTAGTATTGTTAAACAACTCCATTTTGCCAATTATTAAATAGAACTATCAAGAAAATATTATTACCTACGCTTCGGAATTCAATAGATGCCCAAATCTTTCTGCCAACTGTGGACAAAATCTTCAATCTTAGATAATTCACTTTTGGCTAAAATCTTGAGTTAGCCATTTAAAAAAACTAGCTTAATGTGACTCATTAAATTTTTTAAATCAGATATAACAAAAAAAAAATTTTAAGCTACTCTATCTATTAAAAATTTTGGATTTTTTTTAACATTACAAATTGAATTTTGATTCCTTTTATGAATTGGGTAATTCCATACCAAATCGATAACTCTTCTACCCGACTTTTTTAATTTCGATAAAATTTGGTATGCTGATAGAATATCATTAGAAGGCATCGAATCCAAAATTTTAGCCTCCTAGTACTCATAGTTCCTGAGATAGTCAAAAGTGCCAAAAATGACCTTTTTCGAAAAATACGATTTTTTAAAATGGAAATAAGTTAAAAAAATAATGATTTTAAAAATATAAGTTATATGTCATTTTGTAACTCTATTAAAGGCCTTTTATTAAATATTAAGAATTTTTTTGAAATAATATTGTTGCGATTTTTATTTACGTTATAAATTTTAAACATGAAAACTCCAGATGTTTCGCTTTCCAAATTTTTTTGAATTTAATATTTTTTTGTTTTCTAACCTTATATCTATTCATCAAAAAAATTTAAACTTGGGACAGCCATGGGTTTTTTAGTTATTACGATTATAAAAATCAATATAAAATAACGTGTTTTGTTAAGATTATTATTTATTTAAACTTTTTTCATTTTTAAACATAAATAATAAGATTTTTTAGCATTACTATCATGAAAAAATATTATATATAGTTTGATAGGCTTATTTATTATTATTATTATCTTGATAACTTGTAAAAATTGGTTGTTTTTATAATAAATGAATAAATTCCCTAAAAAGATACAAGAAAATGTAATAATTAATTGTTGAAAGATAAAAGCAAATTCTCATGCACCTGCCCAAATATTAATTAATTTGTATTTTATAAATATTTTGATATTAATTATTTTTCTTTTAAAAATTATTTATAATGTATAAAATATAAATGCGTTAAATCCTTTTAAAGAATCTAAACACTTAAATTATAAAAAGTACCCGCGTAAAGTCATGACGTGAATGACACAATATCCAAACATTGAGACGGAATACTATATTTGTGATAAATGTCGTAAATGGTTATCACAAAAAAATATTGAAAATATAACTATTCTGATAGCTAATATGTAAATAATATCAGCATAGTATCAACATCAATAGATACAATCAATATAACTCTAAACAAATTGGAATATCTCCTATTAAGAAAAAAAACTAACCGAAAAAAATTATCCAAAAAAATAGCGAAAATATAGAAAGCTTATTTCAGATATAATAATTAATCCAGAATCGGGTACAAAAGATAATAATGATATTACTCAATAATATGAAATTACAATATTCTAATTTATCTAAAAATAAAAAAATATCAATTACTGACCATTCAGCCTCCTAATTGGAGCGCAAATAAAATAAAAATGACATTCAACGCTACATAATCATATGGCATATAATTCCAAAATCGTTTTAGAAGAAAAGGGAATTCTTTCAACTCCAAATCGAAAGTCTGCAAAAATATCTCAATCAAAAAACAGTTGATATTGTTAAAAAAAAATTTGCAGTGATGAAGTTAGTAGGGTATTACCAAGAAAAAAAGATTGCACAATCTAGCATTGAAAAGGGGGAACGAGTGAACGCTCAAAAAAGGTTAGTTCTTAATAATTTTAAAAAATTATATAATTATTTTAAGGCGAGTAATTCTTAAACTCAACACTAAACTATATTCTAATTCGCAGACATTTATTATGGAGAATATAGTATATCCACGTGAGGATCCTTTGATTGAGGATCAATTAATCGATGAGATTAGAGGATATGTAGCATATACTGTGCATATGAAAACGATTGGTGGTTAGGATTTGTACAAGAAGTGAATGTAATTAGAGATGAAGTAAAAATTAATTTTCTTCACCTTAAAGGACCAGCAAATTCTTTTGTTTATCTAGCTGCACAAGATATCCTTTTCATACCAAAAAATAATAAACAATAGTTAGCCTATCATTGGCTACTGGGCGTACATATAATTTATCGCAACAGGAAATTATCGTGGCATCAAAAAAACTAAATTTAATGAAAAACCGAAAATAGGTAATATCTTTCATGAATTTTAATTTATCAATTATATCTACAAAATTTATAAAATTTTCGAATATTAAAATTTTTATAAGAAAAAAATGATTATAACCGCAGCTAAATAATCTCATTTCATGATATTAATGATAGAAAATCTTGCTATTAATGTTTAAAAATAAAAAAAAGTTTAAAAAAATAATAATTTTAAGAAAACGCGTTATTTTATAAAGGAGCGCCATCTATTTTTGAAGAAAATATTTATTTTTTAATTTTTTAAATCCCAATAACTAAAAAGCCCATGGCTGTCCCAAGTTTAAACTTTTTTAATGAATAGATATAAGGTTCTGCAATAACATCAAGTTGAAGCGATTCTGATATTACCATATAATTAAGGTTTTCTATATTGCCATTATTCAAATATGCTATCATAGGATGGATAATAGCTTGATTATTATTCCAGTGAAATCCTTGAACAGTGTCTTGGATTATAAATGCATAATTTTCAGAGAAATCACAAATTATCATAAATTCATTTGGTTGTAAATAATGTTTAAGTTTTGAAATATATGATAATTGATTGGTAGCGATGATAAGGAATACAAAAATAAAATAAGCTGATAAAATCGTTATTTTCAAATAATAACTATACTAGATCCACAACAATGAAAGGATATATCTACAAATTATGGTCTTAGGAATTTCTATGAATAAGCGGAAAATTATAATAGTTTGAATATAAAATTTTAAAATATGTTCATTTTACAATATAGCGTCAATAAAATAATATCTACATGGGTTGCCTGCTTACATATCGCCCCAGGACGTCGTTCTTGGTTATACTCAATTGATTTTTTAATTTTAATAACAATACTATTCATATTTTTATTAAAAATTATATATTATAAAAAAATATATATAACGCCATCTATATTACATTTTTTTATTTATAAAAATAATAAAAATTCAAATAAAATTAAAAAAACAAAAATGGCTATCGAGATTTTTTATTAAATCGTTTAATATAAAGGTAATAAACATTTTTAGTGAATATTAACACCCAAAAATTATCCCTTCCTAACAATGTTAATTATTTTATTCTCACCGGAAATAAGAAAACACTTGAAATTTTTTGAATTTTTAATATTTTCCAACGTAAAATTTTAAGGGCTATAAAATGATATATATTTTGTAACTCTACCTTAAGTATTTTTAAAAATAACAAGATTTAATGAAATCACGCACTTCATGATTTTCCACTTTGAAGGCGTATATCTTTGGATCTGGTTGAGCTAGCACTCTAAAATTTTGATTTTATTAACATTTACAATAAATAACTAACATGTCAAGTTTAATTAATTTTTGAGATGGTTGGCCGAAAATCTCGTTTTTTTGGTCGATTTGATGTAGAATCACCCTTTTCACCAAACATTATATTAATCATAACTATATATAATCATTATTACCATATCTAGTTGACGAATATAATTCATGTTGTATAATTTTTTTTAAAAATATGACCCAGCTTGGATATCTTAAAAAAAAAAATTCAGGCCCGGCCCGGGTTTTTTAAAAAAAAAAATTTCAGGCCCGGCCCTGGTACCCGGGTCAGGATTGGCTGGGCTTAGGGCCGGGCCTGCAGGTCTTTGATGTGTGTTTAGAAGAGAAGATGTGTTAAGTGATAAATGTTCTTGTTTATCAGTTTTGAAAAGCAATTGTTAAAAATAAATAAAAAATTAAAAAATGTAATGTAAATTTATATTGATAAGTACATCTATCAATAATATTGTATAGCCTTTTAATATATATGGTACGTGGAAAAAAATAAATATTAAAATATACTATGGCCCTTATTTTGAAAGTAATGTTACTTTTAATTTTTTTTGAAAAGCAATAAGTAAAGTAAAAATATTTTTTTTCAGGCAGTATCATAATAGTAATATTGTATCTTATAAGTAATGTTTACAGCACTGTTTTCAAATAATAAACAAAATCAATGTAATTTCATAAAATAATGACATGCTATTTAACTTCTTCATTCTCAATGTCCACCCCTTCTTGAGTACATATGTAGTTTAATTTATTAATTAATGCTGATGTTGCCAATGGTTTAAAACGGAATTTAGCACATCGTGATGTAATAGGTTCAATGATACTAACAATAAAAAAAAGTATTATATTTTTTTTAATATATAAATTTGACTAACCGACTAATATAATTACATATTATGCAAAATCTGGTAGTTTTACATTCTTTCTCCATTATTCTTTTCAAGGCTGCCTAAAAAATTGTTCAAATATAATAAATTAAAATTTAACTTGTGCAAATGATGTCATAGAATCTGCCTCATCCAAAACTATTATCTTAAATGATGGGCTTTGTTTGCCACTGGTTAAAAAAATGTTGATAAATTTTTTTTGTAAAATTACTTTGGCAACATATGAGATGAAACTGCATTTTGTGCAAATATTTTAACTTTTTCTCTGATAACTTTAATCCCTCTTTCATCTGATGCATTAAGTTCTAAAACTCTATCTTTTAACTGATCATGAAATAAATCTTTAGCAGCTGCCATAATTGTTGAAGTTTTGCCAGTACCAGGTGGTCCATAAAATAATAAATTGGGAAGCTAAATATAATTAAATTTATAAATAAATTATTAAATAACATTGGATCCTTCTATGCATTTTTTCAAGACCGAAATAATTTCTTCTTGGCAAGACACTTCGTCAACTGATTTGGGGCGGCTAATATTAAAAAATTTAGATAATATTGTATAATATCTTACTATTTTTCAACCCATGGAACTTTTTTTTTACTCTCTTTTATTTTTTTGGGAAATACCTTCTTATTAAATTCCTTTTCATCAATAGAATCTAAATTATTTTCATAGGGCTCAACTTTTTTTTTCAAATATGCCTCCATCAAGCCCTTTCCTACACGAGTAATAAGCAAAATGTAAAAATTAGACTATTGCTAAAAGATGCGCGGTCTTTAAATAGTTCCATACTACGCTGCTAATCTGAAAATTATAACCAGAGTTGGGCAGGTCCTCCAGAAAAAGAATCTAGATACAGATTCTTAATAAAAAAATGAATCTTAGATACAGATACTAGTATCTTTTTCAAAATATCAAAAAGATACAAGATAAAAGATACTTGTATCTTTTACTAAATTAGAGTATTTTAAATACAAGATACTTTTAAATTATCATTACCAATTAAATTAGAATAGTTTATAAAATACAGCTTTTATTATTTATTTGTGAAGAACATAGCATACACATATAAGGATGAATATTTGCAATAATTAATAAAATATTTATTAATGAATTAATTATAATAAACAGGGATTTTAATATTAATTTTTGCCCATTAATAGCTTAAACAGGGAAGGGAGAGTAATATATTTAATGGGAGTTGAAAATTTGCAAATAAGAAAAAAAAATTAAATCAAATGTTTTATTAGAATTTGCAGGTTATTTTCTGTGTTGTTTTAAATATAGCTTATATTCGGATTATATGGCTAAATGGAGTCTCTAAAAAAACACTAGTTTTATTTTATTCATTATCTTTAATAAGTATTTATCATTACTTGTTTGTGATATTTTTTGTAATATCATATATATAAATATCATTTAAATCTCTTTTCAAATTTTTTTATATATTTCTTGCAAAATTATTAATTATATATAAAAAATATGAAATTAATGTACATTATATTATAATTATTAAATACATAACAATTTTCTTTAATGCATTTTAAATTGATTAAATTTTGTAAATAAATGCTGTAATGTAATTTTTCTTATATCATAAATAAATAAAAGTAACTAATAAAGTTAAATTCTACTTTATTATAATTATTTTATTAAGAGCCTTTTAAAATTATCTAATGTTATATATCAAGTGTAGCTTAAATATTTCCTCTAATAAGAACTTGCTAAAATAATTATATATAAAATATATTAGGGATGTGCCGATATTTTTTATCGGATCGGGCCGACTTCACCCTTTAAAATATCCGTCGGCCAATATTATAAAATTTGATATAAAATGGCTTCTTTAACAAAAATAAAATGTTATAAAATTTTTAAAAAAAGTTATATCTAAGATCATTTATTTTTATAAATAAAATCGAAATCCATTTTTATGTATATTTTTTTAATAATAATAAATAATTAATAAACATTCTGCCATATTGTTTTTTTTGCGCATCCTGTTTATTATAGTGTGCGAAATTTTCTTCAGAATCTTTTTTAGTGAAGTTGGTGATATTGACAGTTACTATCATCGCATGCTGACCTCTGATAAATTGGAAATATTGGTATTTCTAAAAAGAAATCTTCGATATCATAATGTTAAATATTATTTTCAATATTTATTTCAAATTTCATAATATAATTGTTTATTACTTATTATATATATAGATTAATGTTATTACTTATTATATAAAAGTGAAATGTTATTACTTACTTATTATATAAAAGTGATTTAACAATAAAAATATTTTATATTTTTATAGAATTGCAATTGAATTGTATATAAACTATAAGTGATCATTATAATATATTTATAGTTAAATTATAGACGTTATACTAATAAAAAGGGTTAATGATGCTTACTACCTTAAGGTACCATCTATCAAATTTGAATTTGGATAGGCACTACCAAATATATTTATAATATATATTTGAAAAATCGTAATTTTTGGAAAGCCTCTATGGCCTAGTAGGCAAGAGCTTGGCTCACTTATCCCATGCTCCCGGATTCGAATCCCGGGAATGATCATGTTTTTTTTCTTATTCTAACTTGGTGGTTCCATCCTTGGGGGGATGATATAGAAGGCCGGACTCGACCACGTGATTCCGTATTAATATATTAAATAATAAGTATCTTATTACATTTTAATAAATTTTGGTCGGTATTTAGCAAATTAGATTGGTATTTAAAATATTTCCATACATTCACTTGGTAGAAAGCATCATTAACCAATAAAAAGTATATTATAAATGAAAACCATTGGTATCTTTACAGAATACAAAATTAGATATGATATCGGATCGGTAATCGACCGATATCAATTTAATATCGGGAATATCGGATCGGACTCCAAAAAAGTGGTATCGATACATCCCTAAAAAATATATATCCAATGATTATAATTTGATATTCAACTATCTTCTATAAAAAATTTTAATAACAATTATCTAGGAGCGACTTAAGTATACGTATTATTATGTTAATAATTATAAAATAAAAATGTATAATATACTTTAATATGTCTAATTAACAAAGTTTGAAGATGAGTTTGTTAAAACTGTAAACTTTTTTACTTGTGCAATTTTGACATTCAGCTTGTACCTTGTTCTTTTTCACATGAATTACTTTATAAAATTTTCCATCTAGAATTTTAAAATTCGGATTTGATTCAGGAGAACCTATCTTCATAATTTCATCTTTACTACTATGATTGTTAAACATTCTACAAATTAAAAAATATTACATATAAAATATATCCTTATCTTATTTAGTTTTGGTGTTGTTATTTTTAATCTATCAATCTTTGTGACCTGTAAAACTTCCAACTAATTTTGGTTATCAATATATTTAAAATATGGGAGATGATAGACTTACGCCAAATGGCGTATTAGCAAGAAATAAAAGTTATATTTTTTCTTATTTATACGCATTTTCCGAATCGATAAAAAAGTTACGAAAATATAACGAATCATTTAAAATTTGTATTTATAATAAAATGGATGTATAAATAATATCGTGGACGAAATTTAGTAAACTATAAAAAGCAATATAAAAATTTAAAATACATAAATCTTTATATATCCGATTTTAGAACGTCACCAAAAAGTACTACCATAGTAATATCTTACTTATTTCCCAATATTTAGTAAACTATAAAGCAATATAAAAATTTAAAATACATAAATCTTTATATATCAGATTTTAGAATGTCACCAAAAAGTACTACCATAGTAATACCTTTTTAAAATACATAAATCTTTATATATCAGATTTTAGAATGTCACCAAAAAGTAATACCATAGTAATATCTTTTTAAGATACATAAATCTTTATATATCAGATTTTAGAATGTCACCAAAAAGTACTACCATAGTAATACCTTAAATATGAAAGAAGGATATATATTTTTATCCTATAAAGATTTACAAGATGCTATAAAGCAATATGAAAATTTAAATTACATAAATCTTTATATATCAGATTCAAATATTTTAAAATCACCTCTTTTTGAAAAATTTAGATATAAAAGCATAAAATTTCTTTGTATATTTGGTGGAAAGTACAATACAAAATCCACAGGTCTACGCAATTACATGTCTATAAAACAAGGATGTCAATTCCATTTGCAAATTACATTCATGAAAAACAAATTATTTGTCCAAGGATATGCATGAAAATCACAATCATCCCCATGGTAAAGGCACATAATCTTGAAATTATTAAGATAAATATATAATTTAACTTAGTGATATGGATACTGGATAGGCTTATAGGGTTAATTTATTAAATTTTGATAGAATATATATAAGATAAAAGTATGAAATAATGTTTTTAAAACAAATGAAAAATGCATTTTTTGATTAATTTTAGATGAAAATTTATACCAATCATTACTCAGACAAAGAAAGCTTAATGAAGCACAGTATAAATTTGTAGTTGAAGCTATAACTACAGGAGGAAATAAATCCAAAATAAAAAATAAACTATTTTCTGAAGGAAAGTTTATAACCCTAAGAGATTTGTATAATATAGACAAAAATACAAAAAAAACTTATGATAATGATTTAATTACAATGATAGATAAAGTTGAAGAAGATAATGATGCTAATATGGAATTATATACTGTAGATGGGAATCTAATTGGTATATATTATCAAACTCATCAAATGCAGTATATTTTTTTAAAATATCCTGAAGTAATATGTGTGGATGCAACATATCGATTAAATAATAGGCATATGCCTGTGTATATTTTGGTATCAATTGATGGAAATAATAGATCACATATTATATGTGTATGGATTGTCAAATCGGAGTCATTTGATGTAGCATCACAAATGCTTCAAAGAAGCATCTGTTGTATAGCTTGCTAGATGCACAGTCTTCTGACATATATTTTGAAAATTATTACAAATTAACTAATTTAAATTTAGAATCATTATTTAACTATTTTTCTGGCTGGCATCATATCAGATATGAATGGTCCGATGCTTGGAAAAGATATCCTTTAAACTTTAAACAATATACAAATAACAGGGTAGAAAGCATTAACAAATATTTAATAATTAACATAACCAAATACTCTACCCTTCCAAATATGTTTACTGATTTAATTATGTCAATTAAAATTTAAGTGCTGAAAGGGAACATAATAATTCAATGAAAAAAATTAAAATCTCATTTATAAATGAGGAAGATCAAACATTGGCTAATTATAGAAAATTGTTAACAGAATATGCATACAAAGAGTTAAAATATGAATATAATGTTGGTGATAACTGCAATATTGTTTGCCAATCAAATATGTTTTATTGTGATTGCCCCTTTTTTTAAATATGCAATTACCATGCAGACATGTATTTATGGAAAGGAAAAAAAATAATAGTGATCTTTACGATGAAAAATTATGTCATCAAAGGTGGCACAAAAATTATTTTAAAAATCCATCGACATTTTTCAATATATATTAAATAACAAAAAGGGGATTAAATTCAAAAAAACCCTTTTTAATGACCAAATATCCTATAATTATTTTAAAAATCAAAATATGCTTTTTCACATGTTGCGAATTCAAATTGTGAATTCAAATTATGAATTCAAATCTAACCTTTTATTTTTAATTCAACTTATATTACTTTTTATAAATTCAAATTTATCTTTTCA